AGGAAGGCAGTTGGTGCAACATCACCAACAGGGAGAAATTACCCGGTTATTCACCCTGGAGTTCGGAGAGGGCCACCTGGGACTGATCCCAGTCCTGCCACTGAGGTGGTCTGTAACTTGAATAAGCCATTATCAACCTGGACCTTTTTCCTGTTCGCTAGTGAAAAGGTTATGGTGAGGGCTATATTACATTTCCCTATGGCTCCTCTTAGTTCTAAACTTCTGTTGGTATATGTATAATTAAAAAAAAATTGCTACGGGGCATGTACACTCAGTGGAAAGAGACAGAGATTAACGGGAGAGGGGAAGTGAGAAAACTTCTCCTCCATTCTTTTGAGATTTGGGGCATGCACACACATGTGCCTGGCATGTTTTTCAGTCATGTGAGATCCAGCCACTGACTCACCCTGTACATATACAATTTTAAGCCTGTTGTTCTGTGTACACTGGCCCGGAAAAAGGAATGATAACCACACTCCATCAAGAATCTTTACTGTATCTGAAGATTGCTTTTTTATTTTCCCCTCGGTTTTCCCCTCTATCCAGGTAAAATATCAAAATCCTTTTTCCAAAGGGCTATATTCAAACGAGTTAACCAATGAAATACATGCTTTTCTCAAAGCCTCATGTAAGAAGATAATTAGTAACTCTGAGACTACAGGTTCCCATTTGTATTTCTTCTTTTATTTTTTCAAAGTTTCTTTCTTCCACGAGTGTTCACGCGCACACAAGACTGACAGCACCCCCAACAAGCCTTGTACCACCTGAATCACGGGGGTGTGCCAGTGCCCTCAGGAAGATTTCCCAGTCCAAACCCTCCCATGTGGGATTGCCTCACACAGTATCTAGTTCTACCACTGTGCCCCTGTCCCCGACTCCCACAATTTTGCTTTTTTAAATTCCACGTCACTGTTCTTTTGTTCCATGATTCATTTAGCAAACGTTTCTTGAGTTCAGGTGATACATCAAGCAGACTTGAGCTGGAGGGAAGAAAGCCTCAGTAGAGGGGCTGGCGGGTGGCATGGTGGTTAAGGGGACTGGGCTCCCACATGACCGATTGCAGTTGGCCGACAAAACGAAAATGAGTTCTTGTCAACAGTTTCGGTGAAAGGTTGGAAGTGCTGGCTACGTTGAGGTATTTGAACAGCCTGTGGGTTTCCACCTCTGTGCAGCTGTGGGCCTCCCACACCAGTACTGGGAACTGGCTCCCTCAGCGGAGAATGCGAGCAGCCCTCTGATGGCCTTCCTCACCGGCTTCCCGCGGGTCCTCTGTCCACAGTGCTGCACTTGAGATGGAGTTGCTGCCCCTTTGGCTCTGCCTGAGTTTTCACTTCTTGATGGTGGAATGGAGGAACGGAAGTGGAGCAGCCACGGCAGCTTCCCAAGGGCGCTGCAAGTTGGTGAGTTTCCCCTGAACCCCGAGTTGTCTGTTGATCCTGTTCCAACAAGGTTTGGTCCATTCGAAAAACTGATGGGTCACCCTCAAGAAAGTCAAGGAATGGGTGCGTCGGAATCGCTGTGGATCTGCGTAGCACAGTGCCAAGTGCAAGCTGGTCTTTCACCTTTTAAGATGATGCCTGGGGGAGGCAGCAGGTGGTGTGGTGATTAAGCACTGGACTCCTACATGGCTGACCACAGTTCAAGTCCTGGACCTGGTGGCTTGCTTTCTCACTTTCTCTCTCTGGTGAGCATGTGTGCCCTATAGCAAATTAAAAAAATGATAATAATAATAATAAATAAAAATTATCTAAGTACTTCTTTTTTTTTTTTTTTTTAAAAAAAAGACATGCTTTCCTATGTCACCATCCTCCTGCCTCAGTCTTCCAAGTATCTGGAAAACTACAGACACGCATCACTATTCCCAGCTTTCTAAGGTGGGCAGGGAATCGAACCTGGGCCTTCCACATGACCTCAACCTGCCAGGCAGCAGCATCTATCAGCAGGCACTATTGTAGCTGGCCCTGCCTGGTCTTTTTCATACCTGGTGAAGACAGGCAGCCCCAGAGACAGGCTTAAGTCAGCCATCTGGAACTATGTTAAGTCTGGATGACGGCTCCACTAATGGTGTCGGAATCTCTGGGTGAGGCACATTCTCGCCGGAGAAGCTCTGCCTGTGAAGCTGTGGAGCTGACAGCAATGTCTGAGCAGCTGCAGGCAAGCGTGCTGCCGTGCAGCCCTGCTGGCAGCCTCCTGACCGTGACCGTGTCTAGGCTTAGGATCAGGGAGGGAAGACGGAACCTCTACAGTTACCTTCTCCAGGGCTTTCAGACTGCATGTGGACACAGATTTGGGCCACCATCAAGCACGTTTCCAGAAATTTCCCCCTTTGTCTGTAGCTCGGTGATATCAACAGTGTGCTTGAGGAGCATACATTAAGGAAACATTCTCTAAGCCCCATTAGACCCCAGGCGCCAGGAAGGCAAATTGGATTTCAGGCTAATTCTTGCATTCAAAAATGTGTTCTGTTCGTTTGTGTTTAGTGTTTGTTTATTGCTAGAGGGTGCATGCACCTGTGCATACGAGAAAGAAAGGGAGGGGGAGCGCACACTGGCATGCAACCCCTTCTCCAATTCTCCATCTCATCAGGGTTTGGGCACGGAGCATGCGTCCACACCCAGTGTGTTTTTAAAACTGCCAGAGCCAGAACTTGACCACAGTCAGCCATGTGGTATCCCGTTCCCTATGTACAGGGCTTACCCACTGCTCTACGGGGCCAGCCCAAGAATGTGTTCTTAAAGCTGATTCATGTTTTCACTTTTTGTTTTAGCTATTTTTTTATTTTATTGCATGTTTGCCAGAAAGAGAGAAAGAAACTACTCTCAATGGGGTATGGTCATGCCACAATCCTTTTTCTTCCACTTCTTCATCCTGTCAGGATTTGGGGCATGCACATACACACACACACACACACACACACACACACACACACACACACTACATGTTTTTCAAGACTCTGCGACCAGGATTTGAACTGCAGTCTGCAATGTCAGACCTGTCTCCTAAGACATAGCACTTAACCACTGAGCTACAAGATTGGCCCAAAGCTGATTAATCTCGAAAACCCACCTGCCATGTTTCTTAACCACTTGCAGTAACCTCTAACCATGTACTCCAGGATGGGGTAGGGGTTATGAGCTGGACGAACCGGGTTACAAGTCCCAGTCCCACCACTTACTAGCAGGTGACACTGGGCCACTCTGCTCTAGTTTTTTCATCTGTAAAATACAAAGGTAATTATAATAGCCACCAATAATACCAATAAACTCATCTATGATGATTAAATGAGTTAATATATGTAAAGCTCTCATTTTTGTGCTGGGTATGTAGTAAGTGCTTTGAGTTTTATCTATTATCATGAATAATTCTTAGTTTCTTCTACTTTTGACCTCCACCATTCCTTCACAAAGGCAATACTAGGTTAATTATGCAGTAGCTATTTGGGGGTACGGGGTGAATACAAAGTGAATTCTTTGATTGCCTTCCAGGATTTAGGCTAGACTCCCTTTGGTATACATGTGGAAATAGACGCGGGTCAAAACTGAGCACATTTTCAGAAATTTTTCCTTTATAATTCAGCAATTGCAGCAGTGTGCTTGAGAAGCATATTTTTGTTGCGGGGGAGATTTTTGCTATAGGGCATGTGTGCTCACCAGAGAGACAGAAAGACAGAAAGTAAGAAATCACCCCCTGGAGGGATGGCCATGCTGCAGTCTCTTCTCCTTCATTCTCCTCTTGGAATTTTGGGCATGCATGCACACATGCCCAGTGTGAATTTCAAGTCACCAACCAGGTCTGGAACTCAAACCTGGTCAGCTATGTGGGAGTCCAGCACCTTAAGCACTATGCCACCTGCTGGTCCCAAAAAGCATATATTTATTTATTTATTTATTTAGGAGAGGTTTTTGCTATAGGGCACGTGTACTCACCAGAAAGAGAGAGACAGAGAGACAGAAAGTGAGAAATCACCCCCCGAGGGGATGGCCACACCGCAATCCCTTCTCCTCCACTCTCCTCTCAGGATCTTGGGCACACACACACACACACACACACATGCACCCAGTGTGAGTTTAAGCCATCGGGACTGGAACTTGAACCGTGGTCGACTATGTGGGAGTCCAGTGACATAGCCATTACGCCAATTGCTGATCTCAAAGCATATATTTAATAAATATTACTTGAGCCTCATTAGACACCAGACACTGGGAACACAAATTCTACTCTGGACGAGTAGGCGCAAGAAGGGACTCGGCTGCCAGAGAACTCAAAGAGTGATTTCTGTGGCTTGTTTGAATGGAGGACTGAGAGTCCGAGAATCCAACTACCCGCCATTGCCCCTCATTGCATCGGCCATTTGACATTATACTGGAGTGGACCTGGAAGGTTTTCTGGGGCTCTGGTCACCACGTGGTCCTTTTGCAGCACTTCAGTGGGGGCTGCAGGGAGCTGCAGAGTTGTGGCTGCTGTGACTGAGGCAGTTGTGGTGGGACAGGGTCTCGGAGCTTGAGGAGAGCCCCTACCACGGCCGTCGCCAGAGTCTCCATGGAGGTGGAATACGGGAGTGCACATCAGAGCCAGATGGTGGCACAGTGGTGAAAGCACGAGGCTCCGTGAGAGTGACCCACACCGGGAGGTTCTGGGTTCCCACCTGGAGACTGACCTGAGTGTGCCAGGCACACGCATACCCGTGGTCTGGTTTGGCTGAAGCTGGGGCTGGATCATGGCGTCACGAGTGCTGGCAATGTTCTTTTTCTCTCCCTCTCTGTAGTTCATGGAAGAAATAAATGAACTTAAAAAAGCAGCAGCAGCAGCAGTACACCTTGTTTCTGGGTAGGGAGATTCAGTTCAAGATGTCAGTTCTCCCCCAGATCAGTCCCTGGAATTGTAACGTAATCCCAATCCAACCCCAAAGACTTTCTAGATGCTGAGATGTATGGAAGAACTTGGACGAATTCGTTCTGATACTCTCTGAAAATTAGAAGCAATTCAAATGCTCAACAATAGATTAATTAATTAGATCATGCTAATAATTACAGCTAATATTTATCAAGCATTGGAGTATTTTTACATAATTACACTAAATCCTCAAAAAAAAAAAAAAAACCTTGTGAGAAAA